GGGATGCATAGATGATTTTGGGGCAGAATGCAGGCTGCCTAGATCGTGCAGTTTTCCAAGGCGTTAATGAGGTTTTTTTCTAAGTCCCGACCCAGCCATTTTGGGAGGTAAAATACATGAACCTGCAGCCGAATATTTTGAGGATGCAAGTGGGCAACTTGCACAACTTGTCCACTTGTGCCACTTGCAAGCTAAGCGCGAGATGGCAAAAATATTATCAACATGCAAGCTAGGCGCAAGTTGTATGCAAGCTAAGCATGAGTTGGCGACAACTTGCAAGGCAAGTTGTAAGACCATCCACTTGAAGATAACTAAGAATTAGTTGGCGACAACCAAGCACGAGATGGCGACAACTAAGCGCAAGTTGTAAAGTGGAATGCTTAAGGAGGTTTAAGTTTTCCTATAAATAGAGGTGTAGTGTCATTTGTAAATGAAATGTAGTANGAAACCAGATAGATATTAAAAAAAAACCCTAGTCGAAATTTTTTGGTCGCTTCGCTCGGGTTCATAAAAAAGCTTGACCATTTTAACCGAGCCGAGCTCGAGCCAAAATTTTTAGGCTCTGCCCGGCTCGACTCATTGACATCCCTAGGCGTGTTCCGTTGCATAATCCTTTTGAATGATTGATAATCTGCAATAACATTACATGACATTTTATCTTAAGTTTCAATTCATGTGGTGGGATCTCATTTAAAGTCAAAGTATTCAAGAAATCTACTTGTAAGTTTTGTTCTGATTTATTAATTGCTTCATCAAAGCTATAATATGTGTAAATTTCACCAGGAATCTGATCGAGTAAAATTTTGTTAATATGATCAACACATTCATTTTTTGGGATAAGAATAACTCGGTTTCCCATCGTATGTAAATTATCCTTATATGTTTCTATATTCGGAATTTTAGAGATTTAATTTCATCCTCAAATGGTATAATTATATTATTTGGAAGTTGAATGCAAGTACAATTGTGTTCTTTTTTTGTTCCATTTCCAATTCTAAGCAAATAGTTACAAAATGTAGGATCGAATTCTGCTCTCATATTTTTAACCAATGGTAAATGTGAATATAAAGGCTATAAATCAGAGAACACTAAGTTAGCTTTCATTATGTCATCTTTTTCCCCCCTCGGTATCACTAGTAAAACTTGGCAAAAATCTCCTCCTAGAACAACTACTTTTCCACCAAAAGGTAAACTACAATCAGTAATATCTTTGAGTATTTTATCAACGGCTTCAATGGCACAACGATTTACCATAGACGCTTCATCCCAAAATATTAACTTCGACATTTTTTAACAAAATTCCTAAAGTTGATTGCTTGCTAACAGAACAACTAACTTCACCATGTCTCTAAAGGAATTTTAAATTTTGAATGAGATGTTCGACCTCTGGGTAAAAAAGATACAGATACTCCAAAAAACATCGTAGCTAAAGCAACTAAATTTTGAGACCTCACACCAGCTAATAGAGCTTTATACAAAAATGTTTTGCCCGTTCCTCCTGTACCATCAATAAAATAGATCCCACTCGATTCAAAATTCACTTTTTCCATAATTTGCAAAGCATAACCTCCTTCTATATCCAAATTTGTTGTTTCTTCTGCAATCAATCTTTTCAACTATTCATTTTCATCTATATGTACATTAAATAACACTATTTCATACTCATTTATGTTTTTACTAGATGATTTTAAAATAGAACTTATATCTTCTAAAGCTCGTAGTTCAGCAACTTTGAAGATATATTTTCATGTATTTATCCCACAGTAATTTTGGATTATTAGGACTGCAAAGTACAAAAAGTGTAGCAAAAAGACGCCATAGAGAAATCTGCAATAGTTTCAGATAGACATTCTTTACAATGATTGTCTCCACTTAACAAACCATGTAACCTTGCTGTTTCTCTATATGTACTAACAGTTACTCCGTTTAAAGTTTGTAAATCGATAAATTATGTTCGACCTCGAATATGATTGAGAATAACACGTAAGAAATATTGTTCTCTTTCAGATGGATTCGCTGTAACAATTCGTCTTACAACAACATGTTTTTTTCTAGGAGTCCAAATCTTCTTATTTGAGTTCCAAACAAAATGCGTTGGGAAATCTTGATATAACAATGTTCGAGCAAATTCATTCGTTTTATTTACTTCAAAAAATTCTGTTAACTTTGTTTTTTTTTTTTTT